AGGAGGGAGAGGCCCAGAGCTCTTTGGAAGCAACGGCTCCGATTCAGGAGGCGGCACAGTCTGCAAGTGCAACCAGCCAGCCGTCACGCGCACGGTCCAAAAGGATGGGCCCAACAAAGGGCGGCAGTTCCACACTTGCTCTAAACCCCGAGAGCAGCAGTGTGGCTTCTTCCAGTGGGCAGATGAAAACGTGGTACCAGGTAAGGCTGGGCTTGGGATGAGACACAAGGGTTGGAGGCTGTTTTTGAAGCTAAACTGAACACGCTTCTCACACATGTGTAATGCTACCACAGCATGACAGCTCTTGCAGCAACGCATACATTTAACAGACTTCACATTTGTCTTTAGAACATCTCTGAGCAGCATTATAGCACTTCAAATGTTGCTTGTAACAACTGAGTCTGGCTTACCTTTCCAAGTGCTAGCAGGATATGTCCTCATAGCACACATCTGCTGAGCTCTGAGCAGGATGCTTTGCTTCTACATGCAGTAAGCTTGAGCGTCTGTCCATGACTCATTGCATAAAGCCCAAAAAAAATGGGAATTTGTCCTCCCAAATTACGGTGCTCAGCTTTGTGAGGGCTGTTACCAACTTGGTACAGAGTTGAAGCACTGCTTTTGGAGATCTTAAACCCCATTCTGTCATGCCAGGGAAACTGTGCTACTCCCTCTGCCCTAGTTTAGGAATGCAGTGAAAGGCCAAGTCTGTCTGAAGCTTTGATCAGAGCTGAGAAACTGAGTGTGGCTGCTGTGGAAAGATGCTGAAAACAAGTACCCATAAAAAAAAAATCACAAAATAAGGATGCGAAAGAAAGAGCACTGACACAAAGGGACAGTAAGCAAAGTACAGAGGTGGAGATGTGATCTGAGAGAGATCTTCAACACTGGCTGCCACCTCCTTAGACATTTGGGCCTAACGGGGTAGAATCAAGTTTTCAAAACTACTTAAAAACCAAGTTTTTCCTCTGGCATGTTTTGTTGTTTCTGCTTCAGCTGTGGACCAGAGCATGCAATCAGGCACATCAGTTTCCCTTGTTCTGTTCCCGCATTTCTCTAATGCTGCAAGACAAATGGGTAACATTTAACTGTTTACACAAATCTAAAGCAAGTGTAGTTTCAGGAATAATTTGAGTGGCTGGGATAGTAAAATCCTTGATCTGCCATTTTGAACTTACCTTCTGTTTCTCACCTACTTATATTTGCAAAGGTACTTAAATGCAAGTTGTTTCTCTCTAGGGCCTTCTGGAGATGTCCCTTTGAACCACTTTGGGAGCAGTGGATACTCAAGAGAGTTTGGAAGTAAAGCTAAGAGACCAAGCAGTCTCTCCTCAGGAGCCACTGCCAAGAAACCACGGACCTGTAGTGTTTGCCACCAGCCTGGCCACACTAGGAAAACCTGCCCTCAAAACCACTGAGCCTGGACGGACATCTCTGGAGAGCCTGAAAGGTCCCGGGTTGCGAGTTGCTACAGGAGCAACTACTGCTGAAAGGAACTGGAGTCTAGAAACGAGTCCATTGAGTGCTTTCTGGAAGGGCTGGCTGCAGGCTGCTCCTGCCAAGGGATACCATCCTCACACATGCATTACATGCATGGGCAGCAAGGGTTCAACCAGCTTGGAAAGGTGGCTCCACTACTGGTGTCAGCCTTTGTTTTCAGTTGCTCTTCTGCTGAGCAGATTGGGATAGTCTAAACATTTCAAGGAAGCATTTGGAAACTGAATCTGCAGAGAAAACAGCACTGGATCTAGTCCACCTGCAGCTCCCACCGTTGTGGTAGTCGTATGTAGTTTTTCCTACACAGGAAGAGCTGGATTGTAGCCACTAGGACAGACACCAGGGCTGCTTACCTCTTTTCAGTCCCTAGCTTTCCACAGTGTGGAATTTTATTTTAAGTTCCCCTCTAAGTTGATGTTACCTGAGCAACATTCCCCTTTCTTTTTTGTCGCAGCGCCATACCCCTTACCTTGGTTGTCCCTGCCTGTGAAGGAGGGCCAGGTGCAGAGAAGCTGGATCTGGTGCTTGCCCTGAAAGGGAAGCTCAGCTGCAGTGCTCAGGAAGAGCCTTCATTTTAGACAGTTCCTGAATTTGAAACGGAGTTCTTCCTCAAACCTTGAGACATGCCTCTGTGATGCTGCTAGCTAATGGAAGTTATTTTTGTCAAACTATTAAGTTTCTTATTAAAAGATTATTTAATTTTTAAATTTGATACAGTGACATCTTAACTGTGCCTTATTTCTTCCTGCTTAAAATAGTTAAGCTATTACTGTAAAAGCATCCACCAAATCTTGCTCTTTCCACTCACTCATTGGAACAATACAGAAGCTTTCTTGGCAGAAACTCCCTGCGGTTATTTAGAAGTGAGCTGCAGAGGGGGAGGGAAAGCGGTTTTATCTCACCAGCTGCATCTGCTGCGGTGTTGCTGCCCAGGGAGAGACAGAGAGCTGGCTGAACTGAAGGGAGGTTCTGTTTTCCTGCACTTAGATTGAACTCCCTGGGAAGCCAGGCTACCTCCTCCCTCTCTGTTGGGGCTTCCTCTGTACATCAAAGAAAGTAGATCCACGAGATTCCTGTGTCCCCTTCTGCCAGAGGACAGCGTTCAGTTTTTCCCCCAGGGCCTCCGATGCTGCTCAGGCCCCTGCTCCTTGGGGACACAGAGCAGTTCCCCGGAGTCAGTACTGAGGTGACATGCAGCACACGGAGCAGCAAGGGTGGGCAGGAGGCTGAAGCGCTTTCTACAGGGTAGCTCGAAGCAGAGATCACAGCAGCACAGATTCGCTTTGAGGTCTGCACAAGGGAGAAGAGAGCCTTCAACTCTGCAGCCATCCATCGCTATCGGGCCTAGATCTATGCAGTAAGGTCAGGAGAACTCAGGTTGCATTCCCCTGTACCCCTCACTCCCACGATTAACAGCTGTAGCCTAAAAATACAGACCTGCTGGCTAAAATAACAGGATTACGAGGCTTTGTAATGCAATCACTGAGCTGGCAAAAGCATGGCAGAAGCCCGGGCAGCAACCTCTGAATGGCAACACCAGCGGAAAGCATTTGTGTAGCACACAGGCAGCAGGTAAGGCATTGCTGATGGCATCAGTCGTTACCAGCTTTACTGGTCTAACCCTGGTCAGCTGAGCAGTTAGAGTTGCTGGGTAAATGGCACAAGTTTAGTGTCTGGACAGCTTACGTACCGCAGCCAGACACTCTGCAGGCATAGGGGTTTGGAAGAGGAGGAGAAAGGCCGTGCAGGATGGGGTCTGAGCACCGCCAAGCTCTCCGCGCAGGGGGGGATGCCCTGGGCAGCGCTGTGCAGCTCTCGGGCATGCCACCGCAGCTGGAGGATCGCTTCAGCCCTTATCATGGGAAAGGTGACAAAACAGAGCTGACAAGAGAACCAGTATACACAGGGAAGGTTTATTTTCATCGCTGACACCTGGGAAGTGGTTTGGAGGAACAAACTAAGTAATCCTCAGACTGGGAGGAAAAGCACAGGGTTTTTTTTTCCTCCCATAAACAAGATGATAGCTGTAAAGAAAACTAAACCACAACAGCTGTTCACATTGAAGTCCACAGGATTTCTCCATCTCCACCAATGTGCAAAACCAGCTCCTCCCATTAAATATAAGAATATATTCCTTTGCCCTGGGACTACAGCCAGAACCAAAGCCTACTAGCAGCCACTCAAAGGAAAAAAACAAAACAAAATACCCAAATAAAACATATCTTCTTAATAAAAAGCATAAAACACTTCAGTTCTTGCAAGGGCTCTGCTCAGAGCATCATTCCTGTCCTATTTCCCTGCCCTGTACCATGGGGCTCTGGGGGAACAGGACCTCAAGACAGCAGCAACGCGTGTGTGAAAAGGTCACTGGACAGACTGGAAGGGGACGCCAAGGTTCGCTGCAGAGCAGTGAGTATCCGCAGACGGATTCTGGCAGCAACCCATCCGCCGGGGAGGAGACACACAGCCCTGCTGTAGCCTCCACCAAGGGACCGATACCAGAAGCCTCCCGGGAGTCAGCAGCTCTCTTCCTGCCACCGCCTTTTTCAGGATATCGTCCAGCAAAACACTGCGTGGGACAAGGGCCACAAAGCCCCAGCACCCTGCTGGAAGCACGCCCCTTCCTCGGGGCAGAGCCGATACTGGCAGAATGAAGAGGTGGGGCTGAGCTCGCCCCTTTTGGCAGCTGAAAGGGTTTCCAAAGGATAAGCCCACAGCCCTGTTTGCTATGGCTGTACCTTGAAGCGCCCAGACAACCACGCAGGTCATCGCTTGGGCAATATCCTACAGACAGATGAGGCTCCCACCCTGTCCCAAAAGCTGGCTGAGGGCATGGCACAGTAAGACCAAGTGTCCAATGGAACACTGCACCCCGTGGGCTCTGCAGGACACGGCAGCAGCAAGGAACTGCTCCCCTCCAGCTCCAGCTGGTCTCGGAGCACAAGGGAAGCCCAAGAGCTGCGACAGCAGGCTGGGACAGGCAGAGGACACTGGGAACCAGAGACCAAACATGCTTCACATCGGCTCCCAACGCCCAGCGGACGGGACTCACCTGTAGGTACTTGAGGTGTGGGCTGCACTCGCCCCGGGTTCGGCAGAGCCTCCCAGCCAAAGGCTCCTTACGCCAACACCCGCCTCTGCTCAGGCACATTTTATTCAGACAGAAAATATTTTTTTTTTCTCATAAAGTGCAAGAACTTTGCCTCTTACTGACTAGTCAACTAGAAGCATCGCAACCCTCACAGCGAGGAGCAGCAGACAGGCGAGAAACACCCTACATTCAGGAGCTCCCGATGCACCGGTCATTCCCAAAGGCTCCTTACGCCAACACCCGCCTCTGCTCAGGCACATTTTATTCAGACAGAAAATATTTTTTTTTTCTCATAAAGTGCAAGAACTTTGCCTCTTACTGACTAGTCAACTAGAAGCATCGCAACCCTCACAGCGAGGAGCAGCAGACAGGCGAGAAACACCCTACATTCAGGAGCTCCCGATGCACCGGTCATTCATAGCATGAAGCCCATCTCATCGATTTCCTCTTCCAACAGCTCGCAGAAGAGATTGATTTTGTGGTTGAAATAGGAAGGCAGGACACCTTTCTCCAGGTAGCCTACCAGCTCCTCAAGCACCTGCTGGAACCTGTCAGCAAGGCTTTCTTCTGCCCAGTCTGAACTGGTGGCACTGAGGTGAAGGACGACGTGGGTCAAAGGGCTGCCGCTCAGTTTGTGCAGGGCAGGATGGCTCTTGCAGACGCCGTTCAGGATGCGGAGGCAGTGCTGCCGAGCCCCGGAGTCACTGGCATCCAGCTCCTTCACCTTCGAGACCTCTGCCCTGTAAAAGCTCTCCAGCCAAAGGTTTTCCACCAGTCCTTCAGGAGGAGCAGCCAGAAGAACCTTGTCCTCCAGTTCCACCACCGGGAAGAGGGTGATGCTCAGCTTGACCTGATCGTGTTTGACTTCCAGCTTCAGCTCCTGGGAGGCCACGACTGGGTGGATGACGCTCCCCAGCAGGCTGCCTATGGCAGGCCAGTTGATGGAGGCCACCAGCATCTTGTGGAGGGTCTCATTGAGCGTGTTGGAGGAGAGGTACCGCCCCACGATGAACCTGTCCCAGGGGCTGCGCCCACGAGGGAAATACTCCAGATCAGTCCTCTTGATCATCCAGTACTGGGGGTTCCTCACCACGGTGTCCTCTCCCGGGATGAGGCTCCAGAGCGCGGCGTCGAGGACCACCGGCAGCATGAGGTGGACGTGATCGGCTGCCAGAACCCCAAGGCCATCGAGCAGCGGACCGCTGAGGAAGAGGGTGCCGAAGGGCAGCTCCGGGCACTTGCTCCGCAGGAAGTTCTGCAGTTGGGCGCAGATGCTCCTGGCCAGCTGCAGGGCGAAGGACGCTTGCGCCTCGGGCACAGCCAGCCGGCTGCTGTAGTGCAAGAGGAACTTCTCCTGCAGCGTGAGGCAGCACGGAGGGCTGGATTCGACCCGAGGAGTCTCCAGAGGGGCAGAGCAGACCCTGGGCTCTGTGAGAAGGGGATGGGGCAGAGGGAAGGGAGAAGTCACAGCTCTGAGCAGATCATCTGCAACCTACAGCAGCAGCTTCTCCTGCCGCTGCCGAGGGGGAGGCGCGCGG